CCCCATCCCCAAAACCGAAAGCACAGAGCTCTGCCATGGGGGATGCGTCACCCCACCAACCCTCTCATAGAGCACCAAAATCTTTGCCCAGCTCTTGCTCCCCCTCCCCTCACAGCCTGCTGGATCCTCCCCAGCAATGCCTGGGTCCCACCAGCCCCTTGTAGGCGCAGCACGCTGGGGACCGCACGGTGTTGGCAAGGGGTGCATGGGGCTGTCAGGCAGCAGCCGGCCGGGCAGGGTCCCCTTCCTGCCCCAGGTCTGCTCAGGGGCAGGATGTTCACCCCCAGCCCAGGGATGTGGCCCATCTCCCCATCCCACTCTCCCAGAGCCCCTGTCTGCCCCCAAGGCAAGCCTGGGCACCCAGGGGGCCGGGAGCATCCCCCACGTTGGCTCCTGGGGGAGCAGTGGGAAGCCTCAAGGTGGGAAATCTCCTGCGAAGGGGGGACATGTCTGCTCCTTACGTCCTGCACGGTTTGTTTTCAGCCACAAGCTCGACAAGCAGCCACGATCACCCCAAACCCCACCAACATGCAAACACCGTGCTATCGGAACCATGCCTCGCGTACCTGAAACGTATTTACAGACAGAAGTAAAACACGCCGGGAAAGATCAGCCTCAGATATAAATAGCCAACACTGAAATCTGCCATCTGCTGCAAAGGACAAGGAAGGAACATCAACTGCCACCGACAGAGGTTAACACAGAGGGATGCGTGTGTCCACGCATGCTGCAACAGGCAGGGATGGGAGCGCCGCAAATTCTGCTCCCTTCCACAGAAGCATGCAGAGCCCGATGCAACGGGTAACACCACACCAAGCAACAACGAGGTCTCTGTTTTATCCACCCACCGAAATGCCCTGGCCAGCATTTCCCCCACACCCGGTGCCTCCAGCTGGTCAACTGGGATGGCAGGGAAGGATGGGAAGGGGTGGGAGTACCCCACTCTGCCCCAAAGGGGAACTGTAGGGCCAGGCCAGTCCCTTCAGGGAGCCAGGTCCCGCTGGGCACGGGGGTCTTCGTGGCCCCACAGGAGACGTCCCTCCTGCCTGGTGGGCACAGCCACCCCCAAGCCCCCGCAGGTGAGAAAGGGCAGAGGAGCCTCAGCCACAGCTTGCCCCCCTGCCCAGCGACACCTGGGGATGCCCCCAGTGCCAGCCGGAGCACCAGCACTCAAGGGGGGCTACTCCTGTCACCTCGGCTTTTGGCAGCAAGCGTGTCTGCTGGGACACCGCCTGGGACCACCCACGTGCCCAGGGCGAGGGGTGCCAGGCCCCCCATGGCCATGCCAGCCCCCAACGTCTCCCTCCCATGGGCAGGGGACGGGCACAGGCAGCCTCCTGGATTTGGGCAAACCCAAAGCCCCTGAAGCTCCGTGAACAGTCTCCTGCAGGGCGGCAGCAGCAGGGGACACTGCTGGGAGTGGGCAGGGAGGGCATCCCGGGAGGCTGTGGGTGTCAGACCAAGCCGACCTGCACTTCTGTGCAGTCCTGCAGGGCTGGGAAGAGTCCAGAAAAGGCTCAAAACCCACAAACCTGACTCATCCCCAGGGTCACCTCCCTTGGCCCACTCCTGGGTCACCTCTGCAGTATTTTCTCTGCAGTTTCCAAGACTAGAAACTTGTCTTTTAAATTAAAGCTGAGATTGATGCTGTCACCTGATTCCAGGAGCTGGGGGGCTTTGAGAGAGGTGGCAGTAAGTATGCTACAGAGATCCACCCACCTCCAACCTTTGTGCTGGCCAGCTGGAGACCATGGGCACCAGGGAGGGAAGAGCCCAGCAGGCGACATCCATCCTTCCCGGTGGAGATGGGGCCGGCAGCTCCCTGCTTCCCAGTGGGCTCCGGGAGGTGCAGCCCCGGGAGGGAGCAGGGAGGGAACAGTGGGGTT